CAGAAAAGCTTTTTTCCGAAACTTTGAAAGCAAAGTGAGTGCAGTGTCACGCCGACGATTTTTGTTGTCTTCGGACAATTCATGCGGAATTCATCTGCCTTTCTTCTGAACCTTTCCCATCGTATGTAAACGTATGGAAATGGGTTGCTGCGTAACGCCAAGCTGTTCTGCAAGCTCCTTTTCAGTTTGCGCAGAGTTTATATCCAGCAGTGCTTGCAATTCGTCCGTTTCAATCTTTTGAGGGCGTCCAGCACACGGTTCATCTTCAAGACTGAAATCTCCTTGGCGAAATTTTTGATACTATCTTTTACATGTAGTATGACTTACAGCGTTCTCTCCATATGCAACACAAATCATTGCAGTGGCTTCAGCAACATTTTTCTTCAGACGCGAAGTGAATGGAAAATCGAATATGCTTTTTTGTTATTGCCATCGTGAACACTATGATTGATTTTTGAGGTTATGTGCATCAAACATCAAACCGTATGGCATTTTAGAAGGTCAAATGTCAACGCTTTAAAACCGCAAAAGGGTGGGAAGATATATAAAATTTAAATTGTTATTTCGGTTGTATGAAATCTAAAGTTCAGAACTTTTTTATACACCTAATAAATAACATTTTTTTTATCCGAAAATGGAAGAGAATTTTTCTGTACCTTAATAAAATTGTTTAATTTATTGATACTGTAAATGACTAATTTGGTTTCTGTATCTTTTAATATATTTTTAAATTTTTCAGTGACATCTTTCACATAAAATAGAGTAAACCACAGGGTTTTGTTATTAACAATGTATGTTGTGTCGTCGTCATTGTATTTTTTCTTACCATTATAAATTAAAAATTTGATTCTACTGTTAATTGTTTTAAAGATAAAATCCAATGGGTAATCATTTTGTAAGAGCGTTTTAATCACGAAATCAAAATTCTTCCCGCGAAATTGTAGATGTGAGAGATAAAAGATCCTGTCTACCATATCCATGACCGTACCCCTTTTCTGTGAGATGGGATGCTGAGACATAAAATTCAAGTATCTACCTGAGAATGTTGGTTTGTGGTATCAATCGAATATAATAGTATTATTTTCAATAAAAAGAGACGTATCTAAGAAGTTAATCTGGCTACCAATTTCCGAAGTAAATTATAATCGGGTGTATTGAATTAAACTTCCCCGCAATGTCATGAACATGATCATCTGGTACTACTATTAAAATATTGTCCACATATCTATAGAAAAAAGGTATACTAAAATCAAATGTCAAAAGCACTCCATTCTCTAAAATGCTTGCATTACTATATCAACTATAATCGGAGAAAGTGGCGAGCCCATGGATCCGAAGTTCTGTTTATAAATCCGATCGTCAAAAATAAAAAAGGTGGATTCTAAAATTAACCGTACAGCACTCAAAAATTCATCCTTTGGTATTTTACAGTCTTTGGAGATAAAAACTCATCTGTTAGCTGAGCATTCAATCGCTAAATCAATCGGAATATTGGTAAATAAAGATACAACGTCTAACTTAATGAAAATTAATGAAAATTTATCTTCAATTCTGATATTCAATAATTTTTTAATCAATTCAAAACTGTTCTTTATGTAACTTTTACCCGTCGGAATCGATTTGGCGATGATCCTATTCAAGAATGCAACTAAATTGTAGAAAAGGCTGTCTATTGATGAAACTATTATTCGGAAAGGGCGATCCGGCTTATGAATCTTCGGAAGTCCATAGGCTCTAGAAAATAGCGGCGTTGCAAAACAAGTGTTTATACAGTGAGGAAGATATAAATTCTGATTTTTTTCCATCTTGCAAGCAATTCTCTCAAATTGTTGACCATTCTTTTGATAGGATCTTTGTTAATTAAAGTGTAAGTATCCGCAATTGCAATATTTTTTGACGATTTCGAAATCAATAATCCGCTAGAATTGCGCAAATCGATTCATAAGTTAGATGCAGTTTATTTAAGTCTACTTAGTTTATCTCCTAAATATAATAGCAATCTAGATAATATTTTACTTATATAACTCCATAACTATCAAGATCACAAAAAGTTAAGAAATAAAATCTTTTCACACATTGTTGATCAAATAATTGACCTAAGTACTAATGGATTAACTATAAATGTTAATAAAGAGGAGGAAAATAAATAAAATCTTCCGTTTAATGTATATTGTTGGGATAATTTAAGTCTGAACACAATTCTTGGCTTTTCTTTAAAAAGGGATTTAATACTCAATACTATTGTCGAGTTTGTACAGTCACCAAAGAAGATGCATAAAGTTTTGTTAACGAAAAAAAGAAATATATAAGAACACAAAATTGATTATTTTAACCGTGTTATAAATTCTAGGTTTGGAATAAAGGAAGAATGTATTTTTAATAAGATCCGTAATTATCATGTTTTGGAAAATTTATCTATAGATCCAATGCATGATTTACTAGAGGGTATTTGTAGATACGACCTTCTTAAAATATTAAATAATTTTATTTATATAGAATAATTTTTTACTTTGGAAATTTTCAATGAGAGACTATTACATTGTATTAATTCATTTCATGAGAATGTACCTCCACCATTTAATTCTGACTCAATTAAAACCAAAAAAATTATTATAACAGCTTCTGAAATGTATTATTTGATCAATAATTTGTGACATTGATGATTAGTGATTTTGTACCAGAAAAAAACTTAAATTGGCAGTTATTTTTATTTTTAAAAAAGATTGTAAATATATCATGTTCACGTTTCCTTACCTCTAATTGTATTGATTTACTTGCTCTTACTGTAAATATTTATCTTTATATAAAAAATTATTTAACATTGCATTTAAACCTAACCTCGACATCATAATCTATTACATTATGCAAGAATTATGAGAAAATATGGATCATTAATGTCATTTCGCTTTGCAAAACATCGACAATTAAAACATTATGCTAAAGTTATTACGTCACGGCCAAAGCCTTCCTATACGCTTGTTCTCAAGCATCAATTAAAACTTTGTCATCGTTTTGTTTGCGGAAAAGAATTATCAAATCGTTTACAATATGATGCTAAAATAATCAAATTTACTACATTATCAGACTATCTTGATATAAAAAATGTTTTACATCCAGAAATAGTAACTTATAATGACTTACATACAGTATCATGAGCTATAATTAATGATACACGATATGAAATTAATAATATTATATGTATAAATATTTACGACCGTTCATTTGGAAAAATTCGATATATTCTTTTGAACCAAAACAAAGAAATATTCTTTCTATTAGAAAAACTTTCTACTTTAAGTTTTAATCCACATAAACACGTGCGTACAAGATATTAGAACAAAATCAATCAATTTTTTTTGTCTAAAATAAAAAAATTTAGATTACTATATTTATTTTCAATATACTGAAAATTATATTTTCTGTGAAAATTTATTTGAGTTTTAAATATATTATTGATGGTATAATAAAAAATATCTTATATATTGTTACATTCCTTATTTCCATAAAATGTGCGGATTATTAAATATATTCGTTTGCACATGTTCTTTTCATTGAAGTTAAGGGTATATTAAATAATCATAATTACGAGTCGCTATTCATAGGCTGAGTAATCAATTATGGCTCAAATTAGGACTCAAAATGATAGTGTATAGTGTAAATATTGACCATTTATTATATTCTTATCGACAGATTATAGTAAAAATATGTTTTTCTTGATTTTTTTTATTGCAAACGCAATATCAGATGTTTATCATTTTCTATCATAACTGATTACGACGCGAGTTTCTGAATCATGAGTCGCATCATTTAATGCACTTTTAATTTTATCAGAAAAAATAATGTACAACCTATTGTTTAAATAAATGTATACAGACAATTCGAAATAACCTTTTGTCCTTAAAATGTCATATTATTAAATTAATTCTGAAATGACTTTTCCTTTTCTAAAATTTTATTCAAAGCTTACTTTTTGAATTATTAAAAGAAATAATAATTGCCGCATCATTGCGTAAACGCTCGCATTTGAAGATAAGTTGCGCTGCTCTTACCTTTCGTATTTAAACCCACGATACGACAACAATTTCTTTAATAATTAATAATTCAAAACTGAAACTTTGGACAAAATTTTGGAAAAGGGAAAATCATCTTAGAATTAAGTCAGGATATGACATTTTAAGAGCAACAGATTGTTTTGATTGATTCTATATATTGATGTAAGAGACTGATATAAGAGAACATTTGTCTAAAATAATTAAATAAATTATAATTAGTAGGAAATAGCTTTTTTTATTAAAAAGAAGTCATTTAAATTTAAAGGAACTTTTCTTATTTGAAATATCTTTTTTTACATGAAGTTAATTCTGTTTGTAACATAATCAATTTTAGTTGATTTGAAGAGAATAATATCTAAATATAAAAAATTTTTTTAATTTGAAATATATTTTTTTTATAAAGTTAATTCTATTTTTAGTGTAATTAGTTTTAGTTGATTTGAAGAAAACGATCTAAATGCAAGTAAAAATTTTTATTGTTTTTAATGAAATGTTCATAAAATAAATAACAATTTTTTTTAATTTCCGAATATATTGCTTATATGGAAGAATAAACGTAAGATTTGTAATAATAATATTTTCTTATTTTTATTTAAAATTACTGTTTGTTAAAAAAGACAAATTATAATATAACATATATTTACTATATCTTAGGAAATATTTTTTACAAATTATGAATGATTTACTCAATAAAAAAATTATTTTTTTAAAATAAATGAGAAAATTGAATTATAAAAATAAAATTTATATTTTAATAAATATTGACAACATTAAACAAAATATTTCTTATAATTAATAAATAATTTACTTAATAATAATATTACTTTCTTAAATTAATTGGAAAATCACTACATTTATATAGAATAAAAATTATATTTTAATGAACATTGATTATAATGCATAAAATAATTTCAATAATTACAAAATGATTTAATAAATAGAAAAATTATGTTCTTTAAATTAATAAATACAACTTCTTATTTTTTAAAAATGCATTCACAGTTGTATGCAAACACATGGTTTACTAAAATGAAAGAAAATTTTTTTTTTAGTATATTTTTTTCTCAGTGAAATTTAAAATCAATCGGAGGTACGCCACTCACACGTTAATATACACGTTAATATCATTGTAATTTAACATTGCGGATGGAGCTTCAAATTCATTCGTACAAGAATCTGAATTTGAATTAATTAATAATTAACTGTGTGCGTTCACTGATCTAATGGGCTTTCCAATCTTTCTCTTTCAATATAAACGTTGCGTTTATGTAATCGCAATTATAAAACGTAGAATCCTCGGTCTCCTCGGAACATTACAAATACATATCGTATCGCGTATATTTTATTCAAGAAACTAGATTATTCAATTTTTAACTTACCACATTATATCTAGTAGGAAATTGAAAAATGCAATTCGGTATATCGATGATAGTAATCAATGGGGTTGCTATCAAGTTTCGAATGCAACGGAAAATCACCAGACACGCCAATAACGAACATGTCAAAGATATTGTTATCCTATAAAAAGATATCGCACGAAACACAAATTACATACGATAAATAAATTGCTATCAAATCAATTCAAAAGGTTCCGTTTTTTATTGCATAACTTAGATCTATTATCGACGAATAAAAACTAATATCATAAAAACTAATATCACGAATAAAAATTAATATCATAAACTTACCATATATGCATAAATAAGTAATTATCAATGATGATCCAGCCACCTCGCCAATGTGCGATGCAAGCCATACCAAAGGTGTAAGTATAAAGGATTCGTAATGCTCGATAAGGTAGTCGTTTTCGCGAATTTAATTTAGACCACCTGGTTATGAACATGTTGTGAAATTGACCTTTGAAAATCATGTATATTATGTGCAAAATAGCACCGAATACAAAACAGACCCAACTGGGAAACCTGTGATAAAAATTTCCTTAAATACACACACGCACATAATAAATTTTTCTTTTTTACATTTTCAATTTATTTTATCAATCGCTAATAATTAGACGAATAGTTTTGATTTTGGACAATTTAACTATTAAATTGTATAAGTTAGCTTAATTATCGAAAGCTATTTCCTTGTTCGCATATTATATTTTCCAAATTATTTCAACTGACTCCCCCCCCTCCCCATTACTTTTACTACTCACAATTTTGGATGACGATCCATGCTTGTCCATATACCTCTCCAAAAGCCGATTGTTAAGGGACCAACAATACATGTAGAAATCAATGTATCGAGTAAAGAGAACATTCGTTTCTTGCATGGTGATTGTTTTAAATCTTTTGACGATCCTTTTGTCGATTTAAATACTCTTCCAGAGATATGATGAATATTTCCAAAGCATAATATGTACGATCTTTTTTCCTACGATCCCGTTGACATTTACAAGATTAATAAAAAGAGGCGATACAGGATAATTGATTTAATTTGCTGCATCCAAAGACAGAGAGAAGAATTTATAGAAATCTACTAAAAAATTTTAAATAAAATAAAATATATAATTATAGTTTAATTATAGAAATAGAATTCACGTTGTCATATAATAAATTTAATTGCATATGCGATTCTTATTTTCATCTCTATTTATTTCATCTCTATTTGTTCGACATAGATAATATATCAAAGATTTAATTTCAATAATTTTTTGAAATATTAAATGAAATATTTTCTGATTTAAAAGTAATATCAAAACGATTCTTAATAATAGAGGACAAACACGCGAATCGGGAATAGAAAAAAGAAAACAGAAAAAAAATTTTTACCTTGGAATATTTTTGCGTTTCCTTATCGATAATCGATATCGTCTCATCCTCATGATTCTCATTTCCTTTCTCATTTCCTTCTATTTCAACTTTTTCAATTGTAGATACAGAAACATAGTCGTTTTCATATTTATCAGTTGATATTATTATGTTTTCGCATTCAGCAATGTTTAAATGTTTTTGCGATATCACCATTTGTATATTAATGTTTAAACGAAAATTCTCATTGACTAATTTTTCTATAAATTGCTGTTCGTTAGAATATTGGTTAGACAATGGATATAATTCTGTATCATATGATATATCTATATCTTTTCATACTACACGCGTGTGTGTGTGTGTGTGTGTGTGTGTGTGTGTGTGTGCGCGCGCGCGCGCGCGCGCGTGTGTGTGTGTAG